ACTTTTCGCGCGCGGCGACGCGCAATTCGCCCTTGATTTCCTCGAGTTTTCCGTCCGCAGTGGGGTACAAAATGTACCAGTGCTCGTCTCGTCGGTACGGTTTGTAGGGACACGCAGCCATCTCATCTACCGCGAGATTCTTTTCGCTCTCCTTTGTGTTGGAGGCAGGAGGCGCCAGCTGCGCGGCAAAAGAGTGCTGCCACATAAAAAATGCGACCGCGCATTAACACCTGTTTCTGCAAACTGCTAAACAAGAAATTAGTTGGGATATTCGCGGCTTGCGTAAAACCGCGCTAAATATTATATGTTTTCCTTTCGAGCGCCGCAAACCATGCATGAGTGCGAGCGCCGCTCCTTGCATCGCGCCGAGTGAGCAGCGCGCGTCCGCGGAGCCGCGCGCGGGCGCGGCACCAGCCGGCGCTGCGCCCCCGAAACTGCGAAAAGGCAGTCGCCGGCTCGCCCAGAAACTAGATCCGTCGGGCGCCCGCTGTTGGAACAACTTGCGGTCTTACCGCGAGGAGGTCGTGGGCACCGCGGCGCACTGGATCTACGGCGCGTTTGGCCCCGAGCAGGTCGACGCCGCAGAACTGCGGCGAGCGCTGCAACTTTGCGCGGCTCCCGGCGCGGAGTGCGCCGCGCAAAGCTGTGCTGCGCTCTGCGCCGAAACTGAGTGTTCCGCGCCGCGCGCGACCGCTGTCACTCCCGCTGTTGCGTCCGCTGTTGCGTCCGCTGTCGGGCCCGCTGACGGGCCCGCTGACGGGTTCGTTGTCGGGTCCGCTGTCGGGCTTGCAGCCGCGCGGAGCCGCTGCTCCGCGGACAGCGAGGGCGCGGCGAGCGGCGGCACGGGGAAGCGCGCTTTCGCGAGCGAGGCGTCTGCCGCGGAGCTGCCGAGCAAGCGCGTTTTCTGCGACGCGTCGACGCTGCCGCTGACCGAAACGCGCGCGCCCAGCCGCACTTCGATGGCCAGCAATCTGTCTGCGTCCTGCTGCGGCTCGGACGAGGAACTGCTCGCGCTGTTGCAGGACAACGACAATTCCTTGCGGTTTCGCGAGCTTACGGCCGAAACGTGGCGCGCGACGCCTGCGCAGCGCGCGCCTAGCGCGGTGGCTGCGGCGCAGGCGCTGAGTGCTGCGAAGGGCGGGAGCGCGGCCAGCGCGGCGGTCGAGAGCGCTGCCGCAGTGTGTGCCGCTGCCGCGCGCGGGCACACGCCAGCGCTCAGCGGGCCGGTGTCGCCGGCGCAAGCGGCGGAAGGCGATCTCAGAGACAGGCTGTACAGTTTGCTGTTCGAGCGCTTTGGTTTTAAAGAATTCAAGCCGTTGCAATACGAAGCGATTCGCGCGCTGCTGGGCGCGAAAGACGTCTTCTGCGTGTTTCCGACGGGCGGCGGCAAGTCGCTGATCTTCCAGCTGGCGGCGCTGGCGCTCGCAAAGTGCTGCTTGGTGGTGATGCCGCTCATTTCGCTGATGCAGGACCAGCTGAAGCGCTGCAACGAGCTGCGGCTGCCCTCGTACATCTTCCACTCCGCGGCGGAAGCGCGGCAGCTTTGCGCGCAGCACCCGACGGTCGTCATTTTCACGACGCCGGAAAAGATGAGCGCGTCTAGCTCGCTGCGGCGCTTCTGCCAAGAGCTGCAGCTGCGCGGGAGGCTCGGCTTCATCGCGGTCGACGAGGCGCACTGCATTTCGACCTGGGGCAACGCGTTCCGCCCCGACTACCGCAACATTGGAAAGTTTTTGCAAGACTTTCGGCTGCCGAAGCTCGCGCTGACGGCCAGCGCGACGGACGCGATCAAGCGCGACATCGTGGACTCCTACAATATGAAAGACCCGCACACCTGCGTGCTGTCCGTCACGCGCGAAAACATCTACTACGTGTGCCGCCGCTTTTCGGGCGACAAGGCGATCGACGCGGAGCTGCTCAACTTGGTGACGTGTGAGCACCGCGGCCAGGCGGGCATTGTGTACTGTTTCTCGCGCTCGAACTGCCAAAAGATTGTAAAGCTACTGAAAACGAAGAACGTCTCGGCGGCCATGTACCACGCGGGCATGAGCGCCGCGGCGCGGAAGTCCGTGCAGACGCACTGGATGGCGAACCGCATGAAAATAATTGTCGCGACGATCGCCTTCGGCATGGGCATCGACAAGCCGGACGTGCGCTTCGTCATCCACCTGGCGCTGCCGAAGAGCCTCGACGCGTTCTACCAAGAGTCGGGGCGCGCGGGGCGCGACGGCGCGCCGAGCACGAGTTACCTGCTGTACAACGAGCAGCAGCGGCTGTGCCACTACTGGCTGTCGATGTTCGGCTCGGGCAAAGGCCGCGCGGCGCGCGTCGCCGCCGTCGACACCAAGCCGATTCTCGAAATGCTCGCGTTCGTGCTCGACGCGACGCAGTGCCGCAAGCGGCTGCTGTCCAAGTACTTCGGCGACACGCAAGAGCAACTCGCCGACTGCGGCACCATGTGCGACAACTGCGTGAGCCGCGCGAAGTGCGAAGTGGCGACGCGCGACTGCCTGGACGCTGCGCGCAAAGTCGTGCTCCTCGCGCAACTGATCAGTCAGCTCGACGCGCCGCGGGGCATCACGCTGCACGAAACCGCGAGTTTGCTGAGCAACCTCACTATCAAGAAGCTGAAGGCGTATCCGAGCTTGGCGCGCTTCAAGGGCGCGACGAAGGAACTGGGCAAAGAGCTGACGCGGCAGCTGACGCTGCAGCTGCTCGTGCAGGGCTTCATCGGCGAGAAAGTTACGCAGCTCCCGCGAAAGTCTATCGGCGCGTACCTCATGCCGGGCACGCGCAAGCTCGACGCGCTCGCGACGCTGCCGATATCTTATGCGCAAGCCGGCGCGACGGACGCTGACAAGGCGGACGCAGATTCGGCTTCGGAAGAAGGCTTTGCGGGCGGCGACCAACTGCAAGACTTCCAGTTCCCCGAACCGGGCGACGACGAGCTGTTCCCAGAGTGCATCTCGCGGCCCGCAGCTGCCGAGCCAGCGCTCGTTGCTGCCTCCGCGTCCAGCGCAAACAGAGCTGGGCCGCGCAAAACAGCGCAGTCCGGCGCTGCAGCGCAGCGCGATAGCTTGCAGCCGCCGACAATGCGCAGTTATCCCTCGCCCTTGGCCGGCGCAGCTTGCGGCCGGAACGGTGCTGCGGCCGTAAAGACGAGCTTCAGCGGCAGCCCAGTTCCAGCAACACCGGCCGCAGCGTGTTGTTCGGCGCTGCGGCCTGTGCTGGCGAAACTGAACGCGGACGCGGCAGCCGTGCCTGCAGTCGGCGCGGCAGCACCTGCGCACGAGAGCCGCCCCGACGCGCGCCTGAGCGCACCTCGTGCGGCGACAACCGGCCCGCTGCTTGGCGCCGAGCTGGATCGACCGAGTTTGAGCGCGCAGCAGCGCGACCAGCTGTTCGATCTGCTGTACAGCGAAAAGCGCTGCGCCGGCGCTGGCTGCGAGTGCACGGTTGACTCGCTGGTAGCCGTGCTTGACGAGGCAGCGGACTTCTCGCGCGCCGGCGGCGGCGCACTGCGCGCGTGCGCACTGCACAGACGAAGGTATGAAAAAATAATAACCGGTTTCTTGTTTGAGAATACCGATGGCGAAAACGGCGCGCTAAGCAACGCCCGCGCTACTGGCAGCTGCGCAACTCATTAAGGTACGCGTAGTTGCGCACCACGGGTTTCTTGGTGACCACGCCCGGAGTGAACTCCGGCACCGCCGCAAAACGCTCGTCGCTGCGGCGCGGCGGCGCGGCGTTGCCGCCGCGCGAGCCGGCGAACGAGCAGAGGGCCGACTCGCTGCCAATAGGCATGTGCGCGCAGTCGCGAAGCCTCGCCGAGTCAATCCGCGCCGTGTCTGCGCGCGACGAGAAGCCGAGCGTCCGTTGCCCCGCAGTGTCCAGCGGAGAGATGCCGAGCGAAGAGCGCGACGCGACCGGGCTCAAAGAGCCGAACCGCAGAGGCTGACTGTCCTGGGTCAGCGGTCTGCGCGGCGCGGCAGCAGCCGCGGGCTGCAGCGCGTCGGGGCGGCGGTACGTTACAGGTTTCACGTAAGTCGGTGCTGCGAACGGCTTAGCCTGCGCGGCAGCGTCGCCGTGCGAGACGTAGCGGTCTACGACCACGACGGCCGGGCCGGCGCCAGCGCCAGCGCCAGCTCGCGGCTGCACCGAATGCTGTGCAGCCGGCTGCACAGCTGGTTGTGGCGGGCGCTGTCCGACTGAACACGGCAAAGGTTTCCCGTTGAAGTGCGCCACGGGCGCAGTTGCGGGCTTCGCAGGCGCAGGTGGGGCGGACGCGACAAAGCTTGTCGCGCACGGCCGGGCGGCGAGCGGTGGCGCCGGCTGTTCGCGCTGCTCGCGCTGCTCGGCCGGCGCGCGTCGCCGGATGATAGTGACCTGGTGTTCATGTTTGTGTCCGCAACCGGGCGAGGAGCTCACTTCCTTTCGCACGCTCGCAACCTCGCAGCAGCATTGCGACGGAGGCGCACAGCCGCAACAGCGGCTGTAGCAAGGGTCTTCACAGCTCGCGCACGACATCGCAGATGTGGCGCTGTTATTCCTTTTATCGTAATTAATATTTCGGATCCTTATCAGTCCCGACGAGGCAGCGCGCGCGTCGTCGGGAGACGAACATTTTTCGCTTCGTGGGTAGGGCCTTAGCGGCAATCGGTGCGTCGGAAACGGTTCCTGCGCTTCGGCAGAACTTTCGTAAACAGCTTTCGTGTGGTCATTGTCTAAGTGCGATCTGTGCAACCGCGCGTTCTTTGCGCAGTCGGTTGTACGTTGCGGCGCGCGCAGTTGCGCCGGCGTCGCAGCGGCTGGCTCCGCGAGAGCCGGCGGTTCGGAGCGCGCGGCGTGCGCGGGGGCAGCTATTCTGTCAGCTGGCCGCGGCGAGAACAGCCGCGCGGGCGGCGCGGCGGCGGGAAGCCGCGCGTCGAACGTCGATTCGTCCTCCGTGTCCATTAGCACGGAGAACGGCGGCGCCGGAAGCGGCTCCGTGTCAATTACCTGGAAGCAGCACGCGAAGTCGCGTTCGCTCAGCGGCGCAATGCCAGCCGCGCGCAGCGGCGAGAGCGTTTCGCTCGCGGCGCGCTCGACTTCTGGCGCGCGGTTCGCGGCCGCTGCCTCCGGGCGGGCGAGAGCCAGCTCGGTGGCGCTCGCGGAACGACAGTCTGCGTCCGGCAGCGCGGCGGCTTCTTGCTGCAGCAGCAGATTGTACACACTGCGAAACTCGTAGCTGCTCGCGACACTCAGCGTGGTGAAATTCAGGGCCGACTCGTTGCGGCTCGCTCCGCTCGGCGAGTAGCTCGCTGCGCACTGCGGGGCACGAGTTGCGCTCTCGGCGAGCTCGCCGCTGGCGAGGTTTGCGAGCGTGGCGAGGCTCGCGTAGGTCTTGCCGTAGCAGCACGACTGCTTCGCCGAAGCCTCCGGCGCCGCGGTTTCTGCGGCAGGCGCAGCGCACAGCGGCGCCGACTCGGCGTCCGACCCGGCGTCCGACTCGGCGTCCGACTCGGCGGCGGTTTCGCACGCAGTCGGCTCCTTTACCGAGTCGCTGAGGTCGGAGGTTTCGGAGTCGCAGTCGAAGCACGGGGTCTCCGCAGCCGACTTGCTGCAAGCCTGCGCCACAGCCGTCGCTGCGCGCAGTGCCGCTTCGTCGTGCACAGCGGTCGCGCCGAGCTCTGGCGCTGGCAGCTCTCCGCGCGGAGCTGCTGCCGGCGGCGAGTCGGAGCAAGAGTTTTCCGGCGCGCCGGCGTCGCACGCGGCTTCCGCGGCCGTCAGACCGCTTTGGGCTGTGTACAGCGTCGAGTCGTGCGAGTCGCTCGCCGCAAACGACTTGAAAGTTTCGGGCGCGAAGAACACCTCTGTAATGTGCAGCAAGTCGTAAGAAACCTCGTGCCAGCAGTTGCCGTCGCACCCCGGCTCTTTGCAGTAGCAAGCGACGTTGCACGTGCAGAAGTTGAGCTCGCGTCCGGTCGCGCAGCAGCAGTCGTCGGCGACCGACTGGTACGGCGCCAAAATCTCGGAGTCGGTGCCAGAAGTGTTCGTCACAAGTCGGATCACATTCTCGCCGCGCGCGGCCATCGCGGCGAGCTCGGTCGAAGCGACGTGCGTCTCCGCCCACAAGCGGCACTGCTCGCTGAAAGCGCAGTCCGCGGCGGACGCCGGCGGATCGACGCCCGCGTCGCCCAGCTCGGCAGCTGCTTCCAGCAGCGCGCCGGCGGGCAGCGCGTCAGGTTCGAGCGCCGCGGAGTCCGCGGACGTCTCGCTCTGCTCCAGTTCGCGCGCGAGGCTCCAGTCGGCGGCGTCTAGCTGGCTGCGCGTCGCGCTCACGGACGCGGTGGTTGGCAGCGAGTGCAGCTGCTGCGAGCCCGGCTTCTCGAGCGGCGCGTTGCCGGGCGAGTCGGCGCGCGCGTAGCGCTGGTTGCGCCGGTAGTCGACGGACGGGTTGTTCTCGAACAAGAGCGAGTCGAGCCGGCCGGGACGCTGCGCGGCGGCAAAGCTGCTCTCTGCGTGCAGCTGCGACGCGACGCGCGTTTTGAGCTTGTTTAGCAGAACGTGGTAGTTGAACTCGTCAGCCTCGCCGCTCATCTCTCGTCTAATTTTTAAATTGCAGAAACATTAAGCATTAATGATAATAAGTGACGAACAGGAGTTCGCGCACGCCTACTGCTTCTCGCACCAGCGGCGCCTCGAGCACCAGCAGACCGTAAGTGCGTCGCGGCCGCACGCAGCGCCGCTTCCGCGACACGGAGTTCGTGAAGGTCGCCACCGTGCCCGTGTACCCGCAAGAGCTCGCTTACCAGAATGAGTACTCCATTTTCTCGATCCTCCGAGTGCTCTTGGTTCTCATCTTTTTCAACGTCTCCATATTCAATGTGCTGTGGTACGTGCTCGTGTTGCTCGCGAAAAACACGAGAGCGTACCACCAGCTGCGCTACAAAGTGTGCACGGGGCTGCGCCGTCTGAAGACCTACAAGCCCGCGAACGCGTGGCTGAAAAACCTGTACGTGCTCGCGATCTCGCTGAGTCCTTTTTACAACCAGCACTCAGAATCCGCTAATTAATTGTAATTAGGGTTTCGCGCGCCTATTTACTTCTGAACCCTGTTGAGCATCGCGACCGCATGTCGGACTCCAGAACCGCTGCTGCGCTAGCGACCGAGCTGGCCACGCTCAAGGACTGCATCAAGGCGGCCGAAAAAGAGTGTCAGCGCGTCAGGTCGCTCAGCAGCAAAATCAAGAAAGAAGCCGAAGCGCAGTGGAA